AGACGAAAGACATACCTATCTCCATTCTAGAGACAAAAAGTTTTAACTCCTACAGAAGGTATATAAATCATAAAAAGTACAATAAAGAATAGCATTAGGCAGATGATAAAATATTTGCACTCCAGAGACAGAAATCCAAACTTATTTAACTTGATTATTTGCCGTGAAGGCTCAGCACTACGGTGCTCTTAACACACGTACCGATATATTGCGACGATAACCGCACCATTGGAACTTGAAGGAATTCCAATACCAATTGAAACTACCTCTTTGGACATAATTTCCTCTTTGGTGAGGAGCGAGATCTATCTAAACACCTTTGCTGGTCTTTGGGTCACAGCACCCGGTGGAAAAATGTAACATCGAATAAAAGTAAATGAATACAGTAATTCTACCCGCGTATATTTGGATTTTAACCACAGACACCACGACATTCCCTTTAAGGAGCTAACCATATTAGTGAGGACTGACGACGTTGTGGGCTCTGACCCCCGAGGTACTAGTTCTACACCTCCAGTTGCATGTCGTTAAACAAATCGGTCATTTCTACCAGTAACACTTCAAACAGTATCAAGATGGTGCTCTTAGACATATAGGCATGCTAACAAACAGATAGACAAATAGACGACATGTAAATAATTCTCCATATCGTATTGCGTCGATTGTATCGGACTGATTTATACTTCAGTTCTTTAGTTTGTAAAGACTTGGGATTAAATTGTGTCCATTTTGATGTGATGTGGTTTTTTCATGTGAGAGTTTTGTCAAAATTTTAATTAATCTATTTTGAAATGTATTTGTTCTGCTTCAATGATAACCTTCAATGTAGTATAAATGTTTGTAGTCAAGTTAAATGTTATGTGGCTTTATCAGTATTCATCTTAATATCTCAAGTTGACAGAAAATTGTGAAAGTTATTGTAAATTGAGTTATCTTGGAAGTCTTGCAAATGTAGCAATATTGCTGAGGTTGACATTCTTAGAATTCGACAGATTTTATTGACATTTTCAGTCTTGTGTTCCATGTCAAATTGCATGATGAAGTGAATTGCATTTTGAGTATATTGGTACTCCACAAAGAATAAATGTTGCTTGAATTGTCACATGTTTTAATGAGAAATATTAAAATTATATGCGAAAATGTACTTAAGTTACTAAGAGTAATGAAGCAAAAATGAAGAAATTTCGAGAGAGTTCGAGTGCCGTGTTTGCAAGAATTGTGCAATGTGCATCTCATCTTAACAGATAAAATGCAGATTATCGTATTGACAAGAACCAAAGTCAGACAAGAGTAGAGTCTCTGCAAGACTTATTAGACAATTATTTCGGTTCAGTAGTAAATTTACGTGTCATAAAGATGTATTAAATCAATGACGAAAGTTTTATTGATTGATTGTTTAATAATTTAATAATTAAAAGTTGTTTTATAAAAGTCATTTGAATTTATTAATTAATGGGTTTGACTATCAAATTCTCATAAATATCTTATTGTCATACTCGTATAGTTTATGATGTACTTTTAGCCTATACTATTATCCTTGTTCAGGTAAGTTAACTTAAAAGTAAAGCACGTGTCATTTTTTTATATGAAATTTAAGTGCTTTTATGGGTATTAGTAGCACTATTTCTGATCTTTACTAAAAATATTATTGAACAACTATTTTGTTAAACATCTATTTAATAATATTAAAATGTTTCGGAAGGACTTCATTAGTTTTATTGATAAACAATACACTATTATGAAATTTTATAGCAATAGTTTTATGGATAACCGATTAACTACAATACTTAAGAGCTGGAACAATAAACTTATAACTTAATATTTCCAAACCTGAAATACATCTTATACAATATTAAAGCATATTTCATACTAAAATTCGGAGATTGGTCAATCCGGTGTAACTTTATTGTTTTCTTTATTTGTCATAAAATTTTGCTGAAAAAGGTACCGACAGGAAAAACATGGACATTAAGTAGGCATACGATATATTGTGACTATTAATCAAGGCATTAAAAGCAGCAGTGAAAGCGCCTTGAATAGCACAAAGGACTACGCAGGCATAAAGCATATTAATAACAACCCATTAAAATATGTTTTATGGCAAGTGAACAAATAAAAACAAAGGACTTGAAATGTTTTACTACTTGTTGAGCTAAAATGCTGGATGATTTACTAAAAGAAATCCAACTTATTGAAATGTTAGGGAATACATTAAGACTGAAAAGTTTTCGGAAATTCTCATTTAAAATTCGCGCGCTGTATATTTTTCGATATTTTAAGTTTATGTAGTTTGGCAGCACTGTCCTTAATTACTATGCAAAAAATGAGCGCGATCTGTCAGACAGTTCGTTTACGGCAGCTGTTGAAACCAGTTCACCTCAGTAGTGCGTTGCGAAATGTCTTCGACGGTCGTACGACCGTACTGAAAGGCTTTGTACCACTCATAAACTTGAGTTTTCGATAAAACTGATTCCCCATAAGCCTTTTGTAGCATTCGCAACGATTCTGCACACGAAATTTCGTTCGAAACACAAAATTTGATGCAAACTCTTTGTTCAATATTTTTTTCCATTGTTTTTTTCGCAACGCACTACTGAGGGGAACTGGTTTCAACAGCTGCCGTAAACGAACTGTCTGACAGATCGCGCTCATTTTTGGCATAGTAATTAAGGACAGTGCTGCCAAACTACATAAACTTAAAATATCGAAAAATATACAGCGCGCGAAATTTAAATGAGAATTTCCGAAAAACCTTTCTGGTCTTAATGAATGTACAGAAATCAGCACATTTTACGTTTTTATTAGTTGTCAACTTAATAACTCAAAGTAATTAATTAAGCATCCAAAGGATAATAAAAAGCCATAGCATAGTGAAAAAATATAGAATAATATAATTAATTGTAATTATGAATCGAAGTGTGATTATAAGTATTTTTCTACAGTTGACAATAATTCGAATTAATTGTGTATTTCATATTTTACTCACAACACTCACACGCTACTCACAATAGTACGAAGTTCACTATTTATACTTATTATACTACTTTAATTAAAAAATAATAACTTGTCGTTGAAAATCGCATTATTGTTTCTTGAAGTATTCTCCTTTATAATTAAAACACCATTGCATACTTTCGAACCATTTGTAAAAGCATTTACTTTTCTAATCTTCTTCAGATACTTCCAAAACATAGTTAATGCAACAATGACTTCTTCCGTAATTGGTGACTACAATCAAGAGAAGATCAGTAGCAAAATATCGAAATATGGCAACAAAAATGAAACAATAGTACTCAAGGAAGATGGACAACTCGATTAATACCAAATATAATCACTTGGCTCAAACGGAAATCGGGAGACGCAAATTACTATCTCACTCAGATGGTGACTGGACATGGATACTTTTCTAAGTACCTGTACGGCATGGGAAAGATGGATTTATCCGACTGTATTTATAGCGATGGAGACTGTGACGATGCAGAGCACAACTTCTTTTACTATAATAGGTGGCTCACAAATAGAGAAAATATAATAGCGAAGATTAGAAAAGATGAGAGTGGACCCAGAGATTTGGCAAACGATAGAGTCACTCTATCAATAGATTTGGCAGTCGATAGAGTTAAGTCTTTAAAACAAAGAAATTAGACCTAGAAAGAAGAACCAGAAACTAGAATAATAAATAGTGCTAACGCTAAGAAAATGCGGTGAAAAAGTGGTGATCTGGACACGAAAACCACGAGAGCGTGGCTTGAAATGCCAACATAAAAGAGACCCTCTTTGAAGTAATGCGAAAGCAATTCCAAGTCTCGTTGAAAAGCGGGTGTTTTAGTCCGATTACTACATATTAATGTTAGAAAGTCAGGCACATCATTCCGACGACGGTCGGTTTGACGGTGCATAAGGTATTACTCCACCTCACTACAAAAGAAAAAAAATAGGCTTCTTCCGCCAGCAATTTATACTTGACGTTTGGGAACAAGAAAGAGTCATAAGTTGTCAAATTATAACTGTATGGCGGATGATCCATCTATTCGATTTTTTGAATGTTCAAATAGTCGGACATGATCAGACAGCGGTTGTTTGTTTTCTGCTTGTTTACTCGTACCATTCGAAATTGATCGTTTTACGTTCCTTTAATGGTACTCGTACGGTTGCCACCTGATCAGTTTTCCCGAAAAACAAGAGACCATTTGTTTCGAAGTGCTTTGAGTACGAACAACTGGTGTTTACGTTCCGGCTCACATGCATATATTCATAATTCGTCACCTGTTACAATCTTATATACTCGTACGGCTTTTGAAGCGCCGCCATTGTACTTTTGGAGCATTTGTGTGGATCTTGAGCAATCGACATGAACATCTTTTTGAAATTTTGTCAAATGATGACTTTTTCACGGCTAATCGTGAGATCGTGCAATATTTTATATATGCTAGTGAAGCTAATGTTTAGGGTTTCCTCAGTCCCATAGTTTGGGGATTTCGCATGACCTTTACCAATTTCGTCAGTGAGCGAACAGCGACCGACTGAAATGATTGAAATCATTGTACCAGAATTTTACGGTGGCAAAGGTTGGAGACACTGTCCACATCGTCAAATATGGACTTAAGTTGATGCACTCTAGTCTTGCTAATTCACCTTGAAAGTCGTAATAAATCATAGCACGAAAATTTTCTCGCGTTAACTCCATTTTTTAATGAACAATTAATTTATAAATCACTGTAAATAACTCAAATAATGTCCTTTTAACAAAAAGTCTAACGTAGGTTGAATAATGTCAAACTTTCGTAAGGAAACGTTAGATGACATATGTCAACAATCAGTATTGCCAACATAATATAAAGTAGCGTAAATCCATGTACACTGAAATGCTTAAAATAAGTAGTGGAACATACCTTGAGGTTAAAATTAGGTGTTGACTCTTGCAAAGATTTAGATTGAATTACCCTTCAGCACATTTAAACATACATCACTATCACCCAAAATTATTATTTGGCAACTCTTTGCATACACAAATACATGTTTCCTAAAATTTTGACACAATTTAAAATCCTTAGAAGTTCATATTTGATGTTAAACAACTGAGTTGCAACACTTTGACAGCAATCTAATCGAACATGGTAATGGCATCATCTTAAACATGTTAGTTAGAATACTCCTACTTTATGGCAAGCAGTCAAAACGACCTGGCATCCTCATTAATGCTGTTGCAACTAATAGTGGACCACAGAATATGATGCAAGTTACTGGCTGATGCAGGGCAATGTCACTTTGCTAGTACAATATTATGAAATTGTTTGCTCTTTAGCCATCTGACACTGTAAATGAAACTCCTTTTGTTGTAAATGAACTGTTTAGTATCTTATTGTGACCTGTGGATGAAAGTTCGGAGCTTATGACAGCAGCATGAATGATTAATATTGTAAGTTATGGAGAGATCATTTATATGAAAGTTAACTTTTATTTTGATGCACAAAAGTTGTTTATTTTTTGAAGCCACAAAAGTAGCTACTTCGAAAATGCCACAACAACTTTAATAAATAAGAAATATTGACAAGGACTATTATCTACAATCTTGTTTCTTCATTTTGCAGAGCATCAGGATGAAACAATTTTGGTGCATTTGTCTTAACATCAAATACGGTAAGATACACTTGGGATAAGACATTATTTATTTGCTCAGCTTTCAGTATTATTTTTTTTGTATTTACTGTCCTTGTTGAGCATCTTGAGCCTCGTGAGCATCATGAAGGCACAATGAGAATGGACACAATTTCAGCAGTACAATATAGACGCATTAAAACAATTCAATGCTGTCCGTAACCTGAGGAATTTTATCCACATCGATAGTCACCATAACAACCTAAACAAAGAGACAGTAAACAACGTCAGCAGGAAGCTGGAAACTGGAAACAGTAATGCCAATGCAGTGAACAGCATTTCAGTTGCAATTGGACGTATTGCATTCAGTTGTCAATGTGTGTTGTGAACGTTACAATAACATTGGCAGCTGGACACTAATGGCAACGAAAGCATCCAAACGAATGACTTAAAGAAAATGCTTTCAGAAACTGCAATAATAACGTTTAACAGATTAATTCCAAGCTCGTTGATACAATGATTGCAGAAATTTCCAATTTTAAATATAATAATATTTTCTTTCCCCAACCATTATGATTGAGAAAGCGCTTAGATTTATAGTTTTCATAAAGGAAACGAATGAAAGAATGAAATTAATTTTATTATTTCTTCAATATATTAACATATTTATTTAAGTCCAAAAGATTTTCTGACTAAGTCACTGCTTTTGAGGATATTCAAAGAGATTGGAAATATTATTTATGCATTTACTGTATAACTGAGTTGAGTAAATATCTTTTCGATTTTAAGTCGACTTTTTTATTTAGCATAGTTCTATTAAATTTCTTAAAAGTTTTACATCAACCCATGGGATTTGTTTTGTAAAACTAAGTGTGCGTTACTGAGTCCATAGTCTAATAAGAAATTGGATACATATGTTACTGCAGTGACTGAAAATAAATAGTTCAGATTTATAATGTACTACTTATATTCAAAATATACCGAAACAATTTTTAGTGATTATATTCATAGACGGAAACACAAAGAGTACACTAAAAATGAAAGTGACATGACTGAAACACTAAAGTACTGCCTTGTTCTTGACATTTATTATGAAGTTTTTAGTGCTCTCGTTAGTGTTCTTTTTATGGACGTAGTGAAGTTCATAACAATCTCAAACGAAAGTAGTAAACATTTGACTATATTTTTTGTGAAAACAGTTTGAAAACTTAATTTCTTTTCCATTTAATAATTACTATTTAATTTAACTATTTAATATTCAGTAATTGTTTACTTTTTTTGCCGGAAGTGACGCATCTTATCACGAAAAGAAACTATTGAAAAGTTAGAAGGGTTCAAATAAAAATGAAAAGACAACAAGAAAAATTTTAATTAATTTATTCAAATTTTGTCGGCAAAAAAAAAATTAATATTAAAAAATTAGAATTGTAGTATACACGAAATATAATATTGTTTATCTTTCTCTAATCGCGATTAGTGAACATGTAGAGTAACAATTGTATAGCTTATTTGCAAAACTGCATTCAAAAAAGTAAGTAGTAAAAATATAGTAAGTAAAAATATGCATAATAGATGTCTCTGTAAAAATACAAACTTTGAAACAAAAATAGGCAACTTCAAAAATTAATTTTCAATTCGTTGAACTTGTGCTTCCAAATAAAGCTGTAGTGTATAAGCTCGTTCTAAATTAAAACGCACGGCAATTGCTTTGGTTAGTATCACTTCAAAACTAAAAAGTGACAAAAAACTTGGAGCTTAAGTATTGGAAATTTGTGCAGCCTTGGCTATTTGTGAATAAACACGATTAGTCAACGCTTCTACCTAATTTGATAGGCACGAGGTCTAAACTTTGCACTTGCAGTCTGACCAAATTATATTCGGACTATAAACTGATTAAAAAATTTGAATATTTCCTCAGATCACTGATGATCAGTACTACTTGGCAAACTCGAAATAGCATTGTATGGTCAGCAAAATTTTAATAAATTAACTAAAATTTTTGTTGTTGTCTTTTCATTTCTAATCGAACCCTTGCATAAAGTAATTACGTTTATCTTTAATAATTTAGTACATGATAACTAATTATACTGATTATCTTAGCAATACGAACAACCATTTTACTATACTGTCGTCATTTTGGTAATCCTTATAAGGAGGTTGTCAGATAGTAATTTAATTTCAGTTGACACAGTTGTATGATTTGTGGCTCGTGTAATTATATTGATTCGAAATGAGTCAAATATGTTTTAAATAGTACTGATTAAACTGTTTCCAAAGGATGCTGAAAAAGATTTTGTTTCGGAGATTTCGATGTTAAAGACGTAACTGAAAAAATCAAAATTCTCCATATATAATCTGATGAAGTGATAAACAATAATCCAGTTTAGGCGTAGAGAGGGGTTATGAAGAAACCTCGCAGTTAATAGAGAGTAAAAGTGCTCATTTGCACTGACTCAACTAGCATCAACATAATAATATAATCAAATTTTAATTTACAAGCAAATTCTAAAGCTAATATATATATTATAGTGTCTCACCTAATGTAATATTATCATAATTCAATGGCTTCAAAAAAAATCTCCGAAATAATGTTAACGTCCCAATGTACTTTCCTAGATAAATACTAGGATACTCTGAGACTTTAACATCTCAGTACTTGCTGAGGCAATTAAAAGGACAAGCGGAAGCCATTCTAAGCAACTCATTCTCAGAGAAGTTAGAAGGCTTCTTGTACAATGATCTATTTGTCATTTTACTTAAAGTATGGACTTTAAACTTCTGTTAGTAAAAATGTAGCATACAAACTACTCGTTAGTTTTCTTATAAATAGTAGTAGTCAGTATATTTTTAGTAACAAACATTATTTATTATTTGTATTAAAACAAAAAAAAGTCCAAATAAAAGTGATGATGGTTACTTAATAGTACTTAAAACAGCTGTATTTTTAGTTAGCATATTTAAATATTTATAATTAAAATTTTTGTTGTCGTAATCCATTATAGTTCAAAACTTTTTATTTAAAAAAGAGATTTTTTAGGCATTTTTAATTTTTAAAAAATTAAAATTAAATTATAAAATATATATTTTATATAAATAATAAATTTTCTAGTGTATGAGACTTTTTATGTTCGTATAACAAATTTAATATAATATATTAAAGCATATGTAAACTGCAAAATAAGCAAACTTTTTATACTGCTTCAAGGATAAACATTCTTTTCGCATTTAATTGCTCCACTTTGTACTGAGCATCACATATAAATTTAATATTTTATTAAACAATTTTGATAATTTTATCAAAATTAATGCAGCATAAAATTTGGTTAACCCTGCCGACATAATAAGACAAAAACCCAGCGCACATCTGCAGAGAGTGGCAAAGCGGAATTAATTAATTTCACTTGACTTACTTGACTCGTAGAGGCATATGCACTACATTGTGGCATACTTTCAGGCAAGTGAAAGCGTGAACTAGGCTTTTCCTACCAGTATCCCCCGTGCTACACATACCTGTAAGCACACACAAATACAAGTACATATGGTGCATATGTCAATATGCGTACCTCGAGGTGATAAAGTGCATTTGTATGCGTGTATACTACGTATTTACATTTGTAAAAGTGCTTTCAAGCGCATTTCACCATTACGAGCAGATTTCATACTTCGTCTTTCAAGGACACCGAAAGTTGCACTTTCAGCCAACTAACAAGGGAGTTAGCAGATACATACAGATATACATATGCATATTATATGTGCATATGTACCATTGTACATCAAACCATCCCACTTGAATAAATTCAAATTAAAAAATTTTATTTTGGTGCTTCATTAAAAATGTTCACTAAAAACTGAGTGAAAAAAAATTTTTTTTTGTGGTATTTTCTTTTTTATTATAGAAAATTTATTAAATAAAAATATGCGCGGAAAATATATGAAAATTGTATTTAAATTTTTTTTCTTTGTTTACATTCATTGTACATTTTATTTGCAAATTTTTTGGTAAAATTTTTTTCAAATATAAAATGATTTGCTTCAAATATTTTGGTAATTTTATTTTAATTTCGTTTTTAAGTTTTTATTCATCTAATT